TCAGCGAATCATTCCTTGGATTCGAATTTGTCAAGAATGAAACGGAAACGCCTGGAGATGTGAAGGTCTGGCTGCCTCTAGAACCTCGAAGTGATCGGAAATCCCGCTCATGTTCCCCAATTGGTCCGCGTTAATCCTCCTGGCGACCGACCTCGCGCGCGACCGCGCTCTGCTCCCCCCTCCCCTCCACGCAGTGGGTGGCGCGGTGCCAGAAGCCTCGAAGGACTAGGCCAGGCGTTGCTCAAGCTGGCGGCGCGGTCACAAAATTTCCAGCGCTACAGAAGTTAGTTGCAAGGGAAATTACACGCACAAATAAATACTCGCAAAATAAACCTCTCCGCCGGCATTGGGAATTAATTTTTTACACATTTTATTGCGGTAATTTGGAAAGTTTTGGAGAGTTTGGGACTTTCCAATTCACCTTGGCTACTTTTTAGAAGTTTTCTCGCTGTTGGCATAGTAAGTGAACCTGCGGCGAAGGTTTCACTTTAAATGTCATTCTTTTGTTTTCATTCGGTCCAGGAAAGTAGAATGAGAATTCGTCAAAGAAAACATATTTTCAAGAGAATGGAAATGCAAAAGCATTTTCTCCACATTTTTTATGGTCAATTCTAAATTTTCATATTTTTCCTTGATCCGAATCAGTTCCTGTTAACTACCCTGAGAACTCAGTTTTTTGCTAAAGCGAGCAACGCATGGATACGATAGCAGTACCGCTAGGGCTCTAATATTGTTTTACCAGAAGGATGTTGCTCTCCAGAGTGGGCATGTAGGCGTTAGCCGTGGGCGTACAAGTCCACCTTCGGGCAGGCATCCCGGTACGCCGGAAGGCACCAGCCCACCGGGGCGCCTCCCCAAGTAGGGCCACCCCGCCAACTCAGAGCCACTAGCTGCTACAGCTAGTCCTAGCGCCGTATGGGCTCGGTAGATGGGAGGGACTTCTCGCCCATTGCGTGAAATGAATTAAGTGAAAGGTGCCTCGTGCCGGCTGCCTTGCCTTCCGCGCCGCGGGATGGCCGGTCCGGTGAGGCGGCGGCTGCGGCCTGCGAGGCCTTGACCCACATCGCACTCGCCGCGCCGGGATTCGCGCGTCCGCTCGCCCGCTCCCTTCGCTATCCCTCCTTATCCCCTCTTCTGTTTGTTTACTTTCGCTTCCTTCCCCCCTTCCCCTTTGTTTTCTTTCTCCTTCTCCTCTTCTCTCGGTGTTTTCTTACTCCTCGTTTTCTTCTAGCCCGTTCCCGTTTTCATCTTTATGTTTTTAATTTCAGGTGTCTTCTTCCACTTATCTGTATTCTGCCTCTCTTTTGTTATCATTTTTGAACATTTTCTTCTCTACTCAAGCTTTGAAATATCTGAAATGATATTTTAATTTCTGACTATTGGTATTTTTTACAATATAAAATTTGATTATTATAAGCATGTTCGTTACGATCAATCCCCAAGAATGTCAGAATTCGATACGATCAACACTGTGGCATAAACATGAAAAACTAAAAGTCACTAAAAGTAATTTTTGTGAAAAATCTATTATTTTTGTAGTCAAATTCTACTTTGTATTACGTAGAAGATAGTATTTCAGTCAAAATTAGCTGTTGTGACCTTTTTTGTGTTGTAGAATATCTCTTAATCGTAGAATTGACTAGTTAGGTGTGAAATATGTTAGTACATGTATTTACTTTGTAATTTATAATAAATCCATGTTAAACCCCCCAGTAATCTATTGCTGTGTGAAGGACAATAATTTCACACTTAGTCCCGCCACATAGTATTTTACTAGATCTGCTGTTATGCTGGTTGTGATAATCCTATAGTATTAACTATGCATACAGTCTTGCTTTAGTCCCATGTCAAGTGGAGTAAGCTGCGATAGCAAACAAACTCGACCGGCGATATCGCGCGTGACTCTGCTGCAATTTCATGTGGCTGCAGTATTTGAAATAAGTACACACATGTGAGAGTTTGGAGGAACGTGATTGCAGCGAGCTAATTTGTCGCCTGATCTTACCTTGATCAGATAGTCTTCCGCCTCATGAAAAAAGGTGGATTGAGACAAATAAACGTTTCGTTTAACAATAGTTCAGTGAGTGACACAGATCACATAAGAAATTATTAATACTGTTCGAAACTAGTTTTTAACGTTGTAATAAAAATGTGTATCTCAGTCTTCCAGTTAGGATATAGAGTACTTAGTTTATTCCACATCCCCTCTTTAGAATTTCGACAATGGATTCTGATTCTTAGTGGTTGCTCTGACGAAACGCACAAGGATATGCACAGTATACAGAACAGCTGAAGAGTCGCTTAGTATCTACATACGAAGCTAGATCGCACTCAAAGCAGCGCGTTCAAACTTGTTTCCATCACGAGAGTGCACCACCAGTTCGAAGAGTCGGCGCGCAAATAGAAACGCTAGGAGGAAGTGCCCGCTGGCTTTTACGGTCATCTACAGAAATTTGCAAACATAGTTTGCTGTCGAGCTGAAAGACACATAAAAATCGTCTTGGCTCTCATCAAATGTATTCATGTTTTACGAGGGAATGTGTGCACCGCGGAGAGCGAAAGAAGCGGGCGCTAGGACTACTAAACCTCAAGAAGGATGTGAATACCGATACGTAGTCTCGCCGGAAACTGGACTCGCCCGATGGGCGGTGGTGACGAACATCACTGGCAATGGGAGTGTAACCGAACGGAAACAAGAGGATGGCGAGTACGAGGTCGAAGGCCAAATGGCTCGTAATGAATACCTCAAAAAAAAATTACACAGGCAATTACACATGGTTATTTTCAAATTTACAGTTGCACAAAGAATTTAATACATCATACATAATTCCACTCAACACCAAGATCTCCTACAAATTCTACTCATACATCAACCAAAACGATCATCTATCCCGTTTCACTCTTAAATCCAAGACCCCCCCCCCGCACAAGAATTTAAAAAAGGTTTCCAATTGAATCCTTTTTTTTTTTTTTTTTTTTCTTCAACGTACAGATCGAGTTGGAGAATAAGTAAGGCGCTTGAGTAGTAATTTTTAGAATGAAGTTAGTTTATAAGGTTAATTAAAGTCATATACAAACTACGTATGTAAAAGTACTGTAGTACTGTGCAATGCCCATAAGAAGAAAATGGAAATGAAAACGAAGTTGAAGATGACCCCGTCAGCCGCTCCGTGACTCAGATGTCGAAGGAAGCGAGTGGAGGCGCCGGCCGCGGCGACGCCCTGTCGGCGGAGATGGGGTCCGTGCAATAGGGCGAGGAGGGGCGGAAGAGGGGG